ATACTTCATTATAGCATTATTTCCAAATAATGCATTGAAATGCATTGATATTCCGAAAAATAATGAATTATAATTTATTATTTGATATTTTTGCAAAATAATGGAAAATAATGAATCATTTTTCCATTATTTATCCATTATTGGCTACATGGGTTATGATGAATAATCAAAATTAATTCTGACCGATGTTTAGTTGAGTCAATGAGTAGTGTTCCGTTTATATTTGCATAACAGTCATATTGAATTTCAAGAAAATGGAAACATTTATTTAAATAACTTAAAATTTGTGCATTTTTAACATACAATATATTAATAGAAATATTTTGTAGAATTTTCAAATATTTATTTTGGTAGAATTTTAACTTTTTTATGGAATATTTATTATTTGTTTAACTTTGTTTTTAAATATTATCTGTAGATAGTTTAGTTTGTTTTTTATTGCTTAAGGATAATACGTTTGTCTTATATTTGATAAATATTCTACTGAAATCTGCTAATACTCTTGATTTCATTTCAACCAATCATTCAATGCCCCTATATTCCCAGCAGCACGGTGTATAAACTATACAGAATGGTGAGTAAGATTTACTTTTACAAAAAAAAACACTTAATAGAATGACTACTTGCTTTTCGTCAACAAAGTAACACTACGAAAATACTTTTTATTTTTCGAGAAGTAATAGAAGGTATAAATTTGACAAGACACAAACAAGTTTTCTTGAATATATGCTAGAAAAATTTGTAAATAAACAAATTGAACTATATGATTCGAATCTCAACTTGATTCAAAACTCAACTGCAACAAACTTTCACAAAATTAAGACATTTTAACGATCGAGCAATTTAAAGTTTCAGTAAAAAATATTCTTTTTCTTTTACATCATTTGATCGAGCGTGAGCTGCTCATCATGAAAATCACTTTTAGCGGCAATAAATAATTTTTTCAGATCGAAGAATATGAAAAACTTCAAGAGCATCATTTTTCGAAAGGTAAATATTTTACAAGGTACGTAGAATTTTTCTTGCATTCTTTTTTTCAGATTGAGTAATTAAAAACTGAATAATGATGAGTTGTTGGCTAGACTTTCATCTCAAAAAGTTTTGAGGATGATACTCCAAATCGCGCCGAATTCAAAATGTCTAGGTTGACTTTGTAAGCCTGCCTTCTTTGTTCTTTTTACCTAAACGATGAAATCGCATATTTTTTCTCATTTAACTCATCAATCTGAGGTTTTTCCACGTACTTATATATTTCCAGGAATTTTCCAAGTAAAACCGGCTAGGTAAGTATAGATAATCAATATGAACTGCCAGTCATACGTACAGAAAATCTTAAGTTAATAGCTTTAATTATTAAAAGAATTGCTCCTTGCTCCTATTTCTATCCATTGTGCACCTGAAAAAATCCATAGGAAATTAAAAACACTTGATACATTCATTTTATTTAAGTTATTCATTCATGTGTTAAAGATCTTTAAAATTTTTTTCTATAAAGATGTATGCATCCACAAACGAACCTATTTAAACAAACATTGGAGAGACGATAGATGACAGCTATGGCAAGACGAAAAATTATGTTTGTAATAGTGTTAGTGTTCTAGGATCCATGTAGATCTACAGTTGTATTCCTTTTCCTCTCAAATCTCTTCATGAGTTTTAGCAAAGATATTTTGCACCTACTGAAGACTAAAGATTATCGTAGACGGATGGTATGAATGAATAAATGTTAATGTAGTATACTAGACAAAAAACTGTAAAATTGATCTATTTGGATCTTACAATGGCAACGAAGGGTTAAAAAAAGGAACTTCGCTAAATCACGACTATGTACTTACATTGAATCACAATTCTATCGACAATTATAAAAAAAAAGAAGTATGTGATGTGCTGTCCTTCAAAATCTCTAACATTAAAATGCCAACGATTGCATCAACTTGTTTTCGTCTTTTTCGTTCTGTGGACGTTTTTTTTTTTTTTCTATTTGAATATTTAACACTTCCGTTTTTATGAGATGAAACTTGCTTTTTGTAAACAATTTGTTTGCACATCGGTCTTTCAAACTAATAAATACACAGTACAATGTTATGTGTTAAGTGAATTTATTGGTTTTTGCCTGATAATAAAGATATGTTTCAAGGTTTCTTCTTTGTTAAAGTAGTGAGGAAATACGGTTGATTATAAGATAAGTAGATGTTCATAGATGTCTTTATGATGGTAAGATTCTCGAAGAATATTATTTGTCTTAGATAGAATATTTTAACGCCAAGGAATCATTTTTTTTTGACTATAGCGAAATAAAATAGGAATATATATTAACATTTTGAATAAAGATTGATGGAATGATTTAGCAGATGATGAGTTCATCACAATATTTTTTTCTCGAATATTATAAGAATATGCGATTGATTGTATTTCTCAAAGGTAGATAAAACTTTCAGATCTTTACCGTACACAATTGTCGTGGTTTATAATCGTATTTGACAAAACTTTTTCTCTTAAGTAAAAGCTCAAAGCTCCTGTCTCTTCGTAATAAAAAAGCAGCCTATTAAGTTGAAACGTAACAGTGTTCATGCGAACTTTCTAATAGTCATTTCAAAAATGGTCACATACTGATGGAGCGACTTATTTTCAAAATGGCCGTGTGTAGTATAAAGATATGCAGAGAAGCAAAATTAGAACAAAAACCATGTGTAATAAAAAATGAAATGTTTTGCTATCAGCGGTCTTCTCTTGAAAAAGTATTCCATGCATGTCGTCAAAAACTTTTCGTTGAGAAAAACTTTATTCGATGATAGACTTGTCTGGTGTGTCACTCCATGTTACGCGGACTGTACTCTCAAAATTTACATGATACGTCGCTGCAAGCAAGAGAAGAACTGTGTATCATTTTCTTCCCTCACTCGTTGAAACTCAGAAAAACATACCAATAAAGAATCAGAAGAAATTCTTTATTTTTCTCTTATTGATTTAAGGGTTTCTTTTTTCCTCCCACAAGGACAAGTAAGATGTAAACAGCATTAGATCTTACTTAACATAAACAACTGCTCTTTTATTATTGTAAAATCATATGAAAACATGTATGATTTCCTTTCAAAACAAAGCAAGATTACGGTGTCTGCTAATTACGCACACATCTAAATTATATTTATTGTCTTTTCTCTTATATTTTGATTTCTGTTATTTCGTTTCTGTTGTATTTCTTTCGTCCTTGCTTAGCCATTGTATTCTTTTTGGGTGTGTGGGTGTGTGTGTGTGGGTGTATGGGTGTGGGTGTGGGTGTGGGTGTGTGGGTGTGGGTGTGTGGGGTGTGGGGTGTGGGTGTGTGTGGGTGTGGGTGTGGGTGTGCGTGTGGGTGTGTGGGTGTGGGTGTGGGGTGTGGGTGTGGGTGTGGGTGTGTGGGTGTGGGTGGGCGTGGGCGTGGATGTGGGTGTCTTCCTCCGTTTCATAATAATACCACACCCACACCCCACACCCACACCCACACCTACCCACACACCCACACCCACCCACACACCCACACGCACACCCACACCCACACACCCACACACCCACACCCACACCCACACCCATACACCCACACCCACACCCACACCCCCACACCCACACCCACACCCTCTATTACATAGACGAATACCTCGATACACTTTTGCGAAACCACCGGTACCTATTAATTCGAATTTATCACAGTTCTATATATGATCATCGATTACAGTCAAGCAAAATCGGTAGAAACATAGTTACTTTGATAGAATCAAGATTAATACATTTATCACATGAATGTGGAGTCCATTCAGCCATGACTAATGCTTTAAATGTGATAAAAATAGTTTTAGGATCGAAAAATTTTCATCAAATGTTCATTCGTCCAATGATGCAACTTATTGTTTCCCACGTTTTTCCAATATGTAATCATTCACAAGAAATCGAACAAAATTAACAAAAAATAACTTTCTTAAATAAAATATTTCATTCTTATTAAAATTCTTTTAATTACAAATATTTAACAAAATAGCGACATCTATATCTTCTTTTCTCTTAACAATATAACCTAGCACTATTCAATTCAAAAGCAAATAATTGTTTGTAGGCTTGTGTGCAGTAACACAAAATGGACTCTTTGATTTCGCTTGCTGCACAGAAAATCAACAGACTAATTCTTTAATCACTCCATTTCAAAATATTTCTTCAGTAAAATGATTTGATTCTCAGTGAAAACATTGTTTCTCATTGATCATTGTATTGAATATTTAATGTAGTCTAGTAGTATAGAAGACAGTAATCAATTTTCCTAATTAACACAAAAACAATGATTTATTATAAAAATATTCGTATTGTTTTTAAAAATGCTATATGAATAAAAAAGTTTGATATTTAACTTCTAAAACGTGGTTATCGCGACCTGTTCGTCTGATATAAATGATATGATCAAAATATCAAATGTAGCATAGATCGAGAGATATTCATATCTATTGTAATGTTAATTGCAAAGTTTTTAAGTCGATTGTAATTAGGAGTGTCGCGTTCCCGTTCTGTGCCAGGAACGCGGAACGCCTAATTATCTCACATAAAAAGGATGAGAAAAAATATATCAACAGCTCGGTATATGTAAAAAATGCTAGAAAACGCAATATGAGATAGCGTTTCCATTCCTTGGGAACGGAACGCTTCAGCACGAGAAACGCCTGACATTCCTAGCTCTATATTTGCAAATGATGATTTGTATTCGATGTATTTAGAATGTTTGAATGGCAATAGTAGTAGTAATTCTAAGTGCATAGTTGATGATATTTTTGTTATTAATAGGACTGTTAATAAGAAATTATGTTCCATATGTGAGATTTGGTTAAAAAAAGGTCCTGTTATAAATGAATTTAAATTCTATTTTATTTAAGAAAATCAATGAATAACAAAAATAAATCTTGATGAATTAGCAGTTAAGGAAAAAAGAGAAACAAAATAGTTTTCTTTGACGCATTGTGATGTCCTATTAACATCCATAGTTACATCCAAAGACGAAATCTTGATATCTGAATATCAATTTGACTGTTTGGAAAACGAGTTTGAACCATTAAACGATAAGGTTCGATTTTTTCAGACGACGTATCGCCATGAATATCAAGATAGACGAGTTGTTTTAATTGTTCAAATAATTGAGAAAGATCTTGTTCAAAGACAGCTACATGTTCATCTAAATAATAATGATTTTATTAAATTGATTTTTTTCTTCAATAAATATATCTGAATAACATACTGATAGATTGAGGCGTATTCAGAGTTCGTTGCCATTGTCCCATTGAAACTCCATAATAGTATCCATATTTGAAGTTTGGTCGAACTTAAAGACATAAAAGACAAAAAGTATAATTATTACAGAAAAATTTTTGAGCTGAAAATATTTTTTCTTTTTTGTTAAATAAACAATGAATGAATGATTAGAAAATATTTTGTTCATTTTTATTATAAAATCGACCAAAAAAATCAAACAATCATATTTGATAAATACTTTTTTTAAATAAAATAAAAATGATTTGATTTTTTTTTTGATAGTTCTTTGACTAAGATTTTAATTATTTTTCTAATGAGGTAAAACAATTCAAGGAGAAAATAAAGATTTTCTGAACATTAGATTTTACTTTTCACACATTAGGTCTATATTATTGTGAAGCTCATGTGTTGTTCGACGAGAAATGGTTAACGCAAGTATACGACGAGAGTTTTGCGGCTTTCACTCTGAACTCTATCAATCGAAATCAAAAGTAAAATATGAATAGGTATATAACAAAGAATAGAGTCCTCTTTCTTTATCAATTAAAATTTAGGACCAAGCAATAGATGACCTCTTCATACTCTTTCACAGTCACAATACCCGAGCATTAACTTAGCAATAAAAGAATTCGACAAAATAGAAATCCGTATCCCAAACAGAAAAATAAATAAGATAGAGCGTTTCTCTAATGATTAAACATGTATAGAAAAAAATTTATCGTTACTGGAGACACTTGCATTTGAGAAGATATATCTTATATATTGTTACAATAAATATGCGAAGGACGGATGAGTTTCAAATTTCAGTTATTATCAGATACATTAATAAGATTTTTATCAGATATATTAACTTTATATTCAATTATAAATTGTTATAACGATATTAAATCACTAATAAAATTCTACTAAACAATATTCAGAATTAAAATTAAATTTTTTTTTATTAATAGTTCTAATTAACTATATTTTGTTAATAAATAAACTTACTCGATGTCCAAGGAAAATCATCTGGTCTCCAAAGCCGTAATGTTTGTAAATTAGGCATATAAGTACTGAGAAAAGGTACAAGATGTTTACCAGTATGAATTGCTTCATTTGTTCCAAAATTACAACTTGAAATACTAAATTCAGCGAATTGAACAGTATGTAATGCATTTTTTCGCAAATGATCACATGTCTAAAAATAAGATGAGAAAATAATTTCATTTAATCAGATAAAATTTTTAAAATTTTGTTCATCAATCATCTTTAGTCTTTTAAACAAACGTATAAGCTAAATCATCCGTTAGCGACGTGACAGCGCAAAATTGAAACACGTATATCTCACGATAATGAACTTTCCAACAGCTACTTTTCATATGTTGTATGTATGTTAACTTACACTAAACATCCTGAAAAAATCAGCCCTAGAGACCTTTGTTGAAAGGAGTTACTACTAAAAACACTAGCGTTAGCGACGAGACTCAAAAAAGGACATCAATTTTCATTTCATGCAGTTTAGTTTTAAAAAACTCCGAATTAAGATAGCATTTTTGAAAAACTAAATGGTACATTCTATAAACAACGAATAGGACTTTAAAATCGCTACCCAAAGTCTTTTTGGAGCATGCATAGATTTTTCAAATAGTTTGATTTACTATTCGTTAGCGACGTGACGAGTAAGAATATACAAACCCTTCCTCAGAATCTTGAGATGATGATAAGACAAATTTTTTTTTGTGACTTGATGGGATCTCCAGAGAGCTGATTTTTATAAGGAGAATTTTTGAAGTCTGATCTTGCTGAAAATTTTACCATACATATGGCTCAGGCCGTAGAGTCTATCCTGAAATTTTTAGATTTTTTCGTCGTAGGGTTAGAGAAATATTTACCAATTACTTCTTAATTAATTAATTTTAATTAGGTCACATTTCAAAGAGCAAAGATTTTTACATGTCTACGCTAAAATAACTTATTCAGAAAAAAATACTCTTGTAAAAACTCAAAATCAAATGAAAGAAGGTATGTCTTGTTTTGTCTGATTTTGCCCTTATATATTATCAAAAACTAAAGTAATTTAAGAAATTCATTCCTAAGTCAAATCAAATTTTAATTATCTTATTAATAATTTTATATTACTCAAAAAATAATCAACTATATCTTATTCTTAGATTATTTTCATTCAATAATGATTTAATCTTTTTCTTAAGATTAATTCAACTGTAATATTATATCTTTAAAAAAATCTTATCATAGAATTTAACGTAAAAGTATTTTAGAGCACAGTGATTTGGACATATCTGTATGATCCTTGACAAATTCTAACAGATAAAATAATGAGATTTTAAAAGATTTGATTGATTTGAATACATATATTGATAGCAATTGCAACACATAAAAATAAATACATGTAAAAACCTAAAATAAAATCAATACTTACATGTTCAATAACATATACCAAACATTGAAAGTTTTCAACAATAAGATATTTCAGTTGAATAGGCATTGAAACAAGATCAGCAAATATTTTTGCACGTGTTTCATCCCGATCTGTAAATTTAGTAGCACTAAGATCTAGAACAATAAATCTTGTTTAGATTTTATTTATAATAAAATAATCCAGTTTCAAACTGGGAAAAAGGCGTCACTTTATTTGTTCTTTATTCGTATTTAGAATGATCGTTTATCATTGCTGAAGAATTACTTAATAAGATAATAGTGATGAAAAAGTTACTAATTACAGAGTAACTGCTTGTAGAAAAGATATTAAACTATAAGAATGTAGCAAAAACAAAACAAAAAAAGTGCGATACAAAACTTTTTTTCTTTCTATCGTCTTGTTTTCCATATAAAAACTGTTTTTGCTAAGAAAAAAATAAATTTTTTTTTAAGTTGTGACGCGGATCTTGCTTTTTCCAATGTTATCTCTTGGCTAAATAGCTGACAATCATTGATAATGTCTACTCTTCATCATCATAATAAAAAGAAATTATCATTACTGTTCATAGTAAATAAGAACTTTTTCATTACTAATTGTTCGATAGTTGAAAACTGTTTTCTCATGAATCGATTAGTAACATAACAAAGACTGGTCATTTCTAGTTGTACTTTACCCATAGTTTCATTTCTATTTCAAGCAGATAAAGTATCGCTTTTTGTTTCTTGCTATAGTTTGACAATAATAATATATTTTAATAAAATACACTCAAAATGAAACGTTAAAGTACATAACGAATAATGTCATCATATATTCTCTACTCTCTTTATTCACTGAATTTTTGCTTCTCCCATAAATCGTGATCTACACATTAACAACATTATCTTCTTCCTATCCTTACAGATTGTATCAGATATATCTATGAAATTAAAATCTACTACCAAGTCTGTAATGAAATACGATTAAATTCAACAAAAAACAAAGGGGGTGGTCGAAAATCATGGATTTTTTCCCACGATGGAAATGGTATAAAATGAAAGTACTTAATGAGTATATAACTACTCCAATGCCAATTTCTTTAGATCTCGCCCCTTTTATGGATAAAAACTTAAGGAATGTTATATCTATGTCCTATGGGGTACTGTAGGACCCAGGTTTCAGAAAAATCGTATTTTCGAATTTTGATCTGAAACTTTGTGCATATAGAGATCTCAACTAGACTAGCTTCCGTAAAAATATTCAAAAGTTTTCAACAAAGTCTTTTCGAGATATGAAGCTTTCAACAAATCCATGTTGTATAACTACTTATGGACAAGGGCTTATACCTTGAAAGCTTCATATCTGGAAGAGACTTTGTTGAAAACTTCTAAATTCTTTGATGGAAGCTAGTCTAGTTGAGATCTCTATATGCACAAAGTTTCAGATCAAAATTCGAAAATACGATTTTTCTGAAATCTGGGGTCCTTCAGGAGCGTATCAGACATAGACATAAGATTCCTTAAGTTTGTATCCACAAAAGGGACAAGATCTAAAGAAATCGACATTGGAGCCGTCCTATACTTATCAAGTACTTTCATTTTATACCATTTCCACCGTGGGGAAAAATTCATGATTTTTGATCACCCCTTTGCCTTTCTCACAATCTTTTACACTGTCTGTTACGATTTTTAAGATGAAAGTGTCAGTAGAAGTGTATAAATAGGCATGTACCGAGCTTTTTTGCGCTATTTTAGAGCACTGTCATACTAACAGCTTGAGCTGTGAAATAAAAGGCTGAATCGTGTAACCTAGGGTATCAAAAGATAGAGAAAATTTTAGTCTATCAAATAAGATATACCCGCGCGCTGTATAACAATCCTTTAGGTTTTTATGAGAGTTTTACAAACCGAGCCTAGGCTCAGGGCTGGAGCTCGGTCCAGACATTTTTTTATAATGCAAATAAAAATTAGAGTAGTTGTAGCATAGAGATCGGAAGCGATTCATTTTGTAGAGCAACGTTCCGTCTATATCTTGATAGGTTAGGGCACAAAATTCAGCCTTTCATTTCAGAGCTCAAGCTGTTAATATAAAGGCGTTTGAGAGTAACGAAAAAAATGCTCGATACATGCCTATGTATCAATTGATGCATTGATCTGTGACGTTTGAAACTTTTTGACGACATTTTCAAAAAACTTTTCAGTTCCGAGAAATTTTGAAATAGAAAATAGAGAACTTACTGATAAGAAACTGTAGCAGATTAAAATACCGTCAAAAACTGATGTCGCGACGGCAGTGGTTGCAATTATCAGCAATAAAGACCTGTGTGACTACGATTTTTGGTGACGGTCACGAAACTTTTCCAAATTCAGTCACGGCGATGTTACGGTCAGGAGAACTTTTCGAATTTACTTGCGATCACATTAATAAAGCTTGTGAAAAAGCTTGTCTAACACTAATATCGACAGAACTGGCTACAGTTCATTAATTAGTCGAGTTTTTGGCAAAAAGTTGGAAAAATTTCACAAAAAACTTCGATTTTTGGATGGTTTTGGTCTTTGCTAAAGTCATGATCACGAGAAACATGGTCACAGTCACAGCCAGCGTCACGCAGATTTTTGTAAATCTAGTCATGGTCATGGTCACGCGTGAACATGACTACGACCACTTTGCAGGTCTCTAATCAGCATCTATCTACGGCATTAATAACGATACGGCTCATGTTTCTTCGAAATTTTACGGCCATCAGCCGCGGTGGCGGTTAACAATCCGCTTACATCTCCAAATATGAGTTACGATATTTGTTTTTGAATATTCACTGTAATATTTTACAAATAATAACTTTTTCGATTCGGAGTATACATTGAAAGTGCCGAGTAAATGTAAAAGCTCAAGACATATCACTAATTCTGCTCATTTACAATTAAAAAAATCGAATACTCTCCTGTCTAAAAAGATATTTGATTAAACTGAAAATATAAATTTAAATATATTTCAAGATTCGAAATAATCATTTAAATCTTTTCAGATGAAATTAATTTCTTTTTAAAATATATTCAGTTAGCTTTTGTAAACAAGACATCTCTATTTTTTTGTTTTATTTAAAAGAACGTTCTATTATGACTTACAACAATTGAAAAGTATAGAACTCATATGATTTAAGATCATTATAAAATAGAAAATATTTTATGCAGTTTCTATTAGTTTTGAGAAAAAAGACAATCTATACATACGAGCTGAACGACGATCACACCTTCCAAATCGAAGTTTTGTAACATTTACAAATTGAATATGATTTAATTCTTTTTGTTCTATTTCGAATAATGTTTTCGACATGTCTGATTTTTCATTGTCAAATCCTACAAAAAAATTTATTTATTTATTTATTTTTAATAAATATTATTTAACTTTAAATTAATATAACAGTTGAATGACAAGAAATTCAGTTGAATCTTAATATAGTTTTTTTTGCTTCTATATGCAGATATAATACGTACATTAAGGAAACTTCACTTCAATACATTCAATCAAATAATCAGACATGAAAAATACAAAGATCACTATAATCATTCAGTTCGATTTGATATTCACCAGATTGATAAAGATCAAGTCAGAAGCTCAGATACAAACAATTTATAATAGGAAAAATATTGATCTACGTATTCACAACTATAACATTTTTATGACATTGCCTGTAACTCCAACGTCATTAAATCCTTTTCATTTGCTTATTTTACTCGAAGAGAATTAAAATAGTTCATTAAAAAGATTGTGACAAAATTAATTACGATAAATAAATATATCTTCACTTTTCTACGTTCTAATAGATAAACTTCAATTGAAAAACTGTTACCTCTTACTGTTGGATTTGGTGTGAGTTCTGAAATCGATCGTCAACATGTTCCTCAAAAACGAACATCTGCTTGTCAAAAATGAATGAAGAAACTATACATCTATTGGTATTGATCTACTTTTATGATAAAAAAGTAACCAAACTTTGAAGCATTTTAATTCATCCATTTTTCTTCGCACAATTTCAAATTCTCTCTTTTATTATATTTAACGAAATTAAACAGAGCAGATACGAGTTTACCATGTGACAAGTACAATTTATCGAGTTTGGTTGAAATTAAAATATCAAAAAACTGATCCTGTCTGATTAGGGCTACGAAAAGTTGTGATTATAAAGTATTATAATGTCCTGTATCTAGCTACTTTGACTTATACTAATATATTTCTCTTTAAAAATAACAAAGAAAAAATGCTCATCGAAATGAATGAATGTTAAATAAAAATAGATAGGAGTAAACACCATGAAAACGATATTTCTATCTTTCATCTTTAAATACTTTAACTAAATGAACGAAAATCAAGTTTCATAGATATCAAAATTCGAACTTTATCAACTACTGATGTTTACGAGCAAAATAATACTCAGAATTTGAAGAAGAGTTTACAAATCTTCATTCAATGGAAATAACTGATTTAAAGACTTGAAAAATTCTTCAGATTTCAGTGGACTTGAGAATATTCATGACATTTAATAGATTTGAAAAACTGTTTTAAGACTTAAAAGGATGTCATAAAATTTTTGAAAAACTTTATTATATATCAAAAACTATAACTTCGAGACTTGATGATATCGTGTGAAACTGAAATCTTCACTATTTATCTCTCGAATATTCATTGAACATTATCACTTGTTTAGTCTTTCCTTAGTCGTAGATTTTACGAAAATCATTGAGAAAATTATCGAAAAAAAAACGTTTACCTATATAAAATGTGACAGAAGTGACATAGGGGCATAGTTCATTGAATTGTTCGAGAAATGAATACCGAGATGAATTATAAACGATTGTAATATGTCGAATATTTGATAAATCATATTCTATATAATGATAATTACTAAAGAAAAAGAAAATAATTTAATGAAAACTATTCATAAGTGAAATATCTACAATAAACCATCAAAGAGCTGATATTGATCAAGAATAGACGAGAACAGATATTGATATGATTTTTTTTTATTATAAAAACATTTAACAGTTGTCCATTGATGATAAATAAAAAAAGAATTTGTTTTAAATGAATTTATTATTTTTTTGATATCATCTAATGATAATTGCCGTTTTACACGAATATAAAAACGAAAATCTTTTAAATTAATTATTTGATCAGGTAAACAATATTGATGAATAAAATTTGCATCAATAAAAGATTTCAATATGAATTGATCCGATTTCGATAGTTTTCGAATATATAAATGAATTTCAAGTTTTTTAATATGATTAATATTGTTAAGAAGCCATTTTAAATAACTAAATTCTAAATCATTTTCAATATAACTCTTCAATTTGAAGCATTCCAATTTTGGTATCTATTTTAGAAAAAAAAATCAATTATAATTGTAACATGTAATATTCATTAATAATTAAAATAGAAAAAAAAAACAATAATTGAAAACAATGTATTTATATTATTCTAACCTCATCATCTATTCCGGGACTACTTCATTTTTACTCTTTAAACGTATTCAAATTTGGACACTCTTTCTTATTAAACAAAATCACTTTTAATGGTTTTCTTTTCAGATTTGTATTGTTGTAGATTCACAAATGCAAATTTTTCTTTTCTTTTAACATTTGATCAAATGATACAAATATTCTTGTGATACTGAGACAGTCATCTCCGATGTATATTCTCGAAAGATGTCATTTTTGCTATTACCTTTTGTCTTGTTTTTTAGGTGCAGTAAGTGTCTTTGATATGAACTAACATTAACGTACGAGATAAGATTTAACTAAAGAGTTTTGTTTTAGAATTTATAACTGAAATGATGTTAAAATGCGTCTTACTTTATTAAACCAATTTTCATTTGATAATCTCGATCTTTGAATGTTTGAACTAAAGTTAACATTATCAATTAGTGAACCTTCAACATAAACCGATAATTTTTCGAGATTGGGTACATGTTCAATGATATATTCAAGAATATATGTATAACCGAGTTGAATCTCCAAATGACGCAGAGTTAAACAATAAGATTGATACTCAGTAGAAATTATATTTGATTTAAGATGAGAATTTGAATCTAAGCATTGATAAATATTGTAAAATGTATTCGTAATATCAAGATGAAGATAAGTTAATTGACATTGATCAGAAAATAATTGACGTAGCAACTCTTGAAACATAGTTCGCATTTTGCCTATTTAATCATAATATTAAAAAAATTCATTTCTATCATTAATATTTCAAATGAAATTCTTTCAAACTTATGAGCAAATGTTTTCAAGTGCCTCATCGCTTTTTACTTCAAACTGTGTGCATAAGATAGATACCAGTGAGATTTTAAAAATCCCAAAAGAATAAGTCTCCTTATACCTTATGTCCAGAGTTATAGGTATTTTACTGTTATTTTAGGCTATGGCATGGTATATATCAACAAATCGAAAGATGACATTTCGATCTAAGATTTTGCCTACATATAGGTCTATTTGGGAATAGAATGCTCTGAAAATTAAAGCTCAAAAGAATGATTCCTTCCCAAGATATTAAAGTTCCAAAAATCACTCATATTCCACGAAAGATGCTAGAATTTTTTTTTGTTGAGATTTTCATATTTCAGGAAGGAAACTTTCTTTTGAGCTGTAATTTTCAAAGCATTCTATTCACAAATAGAGCAATATATATGGACAAAATCTCAGGTCGAAATACCATCTTTCAGTTTGTTGATATATACCATGCAGTAGGCTAAAATGCTCGTAGAAGGTCTAAGGGAGCTTACCCTTTTGGAGTTTTTCATACATCCCTGGCGTCTGTTTTATGCACACGATTCGACCTCAAAAGCGACTGAGCAGTTGACAACGTTCCCTCGTGAGACATTTTTAAAATTATCTTTGTTTATTTTCATTCAGTTAATTAGATTATAATTACAAGGATCACATCTTTTATATGTATAACTACCAAGTTTGAAAGCGGATACACAAAAACTAATAAAATAAATCCTATCTCTTTTGTATTGAATAAAAATGAAATAATTCGTGTGCAAATGTGCAAAACAAATGATGTATGTTTACTAAACTTTATAATATGTTCATTTTTTTCATAAATAGAATGGGAGAAGATCAAGAAGAATTTCATCTCGTTTAAGAATTTTAAAAATAAAGAATCGAATTAAACACATATTCTGTTATATTCGAAAGAGTAGATTCAGTATTTTTTTAATTTTTCTATTATCAATATATAATAATATTAGATTTAATGTATTTTATTTTATTAAAATGTTTAGCAATTGAAATCCTTCTCTGATCACATTCATATTACAACAGGGTGGACCAAAATTAACTTTACCGCGAAGAAAGACTTGAGTATTTCTCCTATACTTTTGCCAAATAGAATGACCTTTTCACTGTTAATAAAAACGTACTCATAGCTAATATTCACAAAGAAAAATAGTGAAAAATATAATTTTGGAATGCATATAAATGTAAAGTCCTTCGTGAATTCCAGAAGGAGAACATTTCATAAATAATTCATTAATAAATCAATGAAGCTGTTTAAGAATAAAACTTTCAAAACATACTAAGTAACAAAAACAAACATCTATCTGTCAAAACCTAAAAATAACAGTTCTCTGAAACATTAATTGAAAATATTCCGAGCTGTTTCTTTGTGCGATCAAAAGAATAATATTGTTTGTCGCAAGTAGAGTTCAGTTGACTAATTTATATTCATGTCAAAAGAAATATTTCAAGACAGTATTTTTCAAGGTTTTTTCTATGGATACTAGCTATGAATGCTCGTTTATTAACAGTAAAACAAAACAATACATTTGACCAAAATATAGGAGCATTACTGAAGATTTTCTTCTCGGTAGATGTTGTTATAGTTTAAGATCTATTTTTCATCAATACTAAAATGATTGATATTCACCGAGTAGATCATTAATCAATCAGCTAAATATATTAAAGTGACAGTACTGCTTAAAGATACTTCGATAATGACTGATTTTTGCTTTCTTCGAAAGTTTTTATGTTGATGATGGCTAAATGTCAATAAATCTATTTTTGGAAGAGATTCAACATAGTCATCAGTGCTAACATTGGATAAAATGACACTGATAATCGGTGACGGATGATAATTATTTTAGACAGACTTTAACTTCTAACGAATACAACATGATCTTGTTCAGAAAACCATCTGTGAAATCGATTATTAATTACCGTAATCAGAATCTTCTGAATTATTAAATGTGTCGTAGATATCTTCATCAAATGTTAATGTAAGTTCATTTAATTGATATTGTATAAGTAAAGATAATAATCGAACTAATGACTGAGATAATAAACATTGAGTAATATAAAGTGATTTAAGATTGGGAAAACAAACAATTGGTTTGTTATCATGATAAAAAATATTTTCGTAAATAAAATCAAAAGAAATTGAATTAATTCCTTCAAAACAAATATATTTAATAGAAGAACAAAGAGATGAAGAATTGAATATAATTGGTAATAATGTTGATGAAAATGTTTGATAAGATAAGCCTGGTTTATTTAGAATAATTCCATTTTTATTTATTAAAAATGTTGAATCAATAAGAGAATTGATACGTTTATTTAAAGACCATAGTGATATTAACACTTGATCCCATGTTAAATAATAAAATATATTTAATAAGATTTCATTTGGTAACATTTCTAATTTACTGAACATTTTTTATCTTGAAATAGAAATAAAAATAAAATTATTTTCTGTTTTCTTCTATTTAATTCAAATTTATCCAATTATAAAAATCATCATTTGATTATTTCGTATCTTGTTTAACAATTTTTTCAACAAAGTTCTGATTAGATACGTTCAAAAAACATCCTTTTTCATTAAAAATGAATTCTTTTCTATCTATTTTTTTTTCTAACATTTTCTCACAATTTCACATTTTTTTTAATTTGAAACCAATTGTGTCAATCAAAGACGGAAACGAAGTGCATAAAATTTTAGCTATATTTCACACTTTCCTCGTGTGAAAAGTTCATAAGTTAAGTGTCCATAGAGACAACATCTTCACACGATGATGGGAATGAACTTTTACAACAGATGTGTTAAATAACATCGGATTTTTTCTTTCTTCTCATATAACAATCAATACATGAAAATTAGAAGAAAAAAACCTGTTTTCAGCCTTTGTTATGTATTAACGATACTTCCACGAATGCTGGTAAAGAGAAATAATCATAACTTTAAAAAACCGTTTGTTATATATATCTGTCCCAGATAGTGCCCGACGTGACCAAGTATTTTTGATCACGGTCACCTTAGACATATTTATTCATGGTCATCGTCACGGTCATTCCTTTTAGTTTGTCGCAACTAGCCACCTTTTTCCTTAAGCGATTTGTATTGTCACACAATTCAGATATTATATTGTTCCTATTAGTAAAAGCAATAAGAATATATTGCAGCGAAAAGAAAGTAAAGATTTTTGATATTCAATCAAAAAACTTTATCTCATCGAATGGATAATGAACACTTCATTGAACGAAAACTTAATACAATTAATTTCCAATACAAATATTTCAGTTACTGCCTCGAAGCACACGAAAAAGATTATTCCGTGGTCAACTTTCAGTCATAGTCACGGTCACAGATTGTTTAGAAATGTTGGCCACGGTCACGGGACGTCACTGTGACTCATACCGGGCACTAGTCGGAGATGATGAGGTTTATTCTGGTATCCCACCGACAGTTTGTAAAAAAAGAGGAAAAAAGAGGATCCACAGTTTAAAAAAAAAGAGGATTTTTAAAAATAAAGAGGAAAAGAGGAGTTTGGTTTTTTTCGGACGAAAAATGCTAACAAATATCCACACAAGAGCAGAAACCTGTAAAAACAGCATAACTATGATCTGCATTCAATGGTGAATCGAAACAGCGAAAAATGAAATTCAGTATTATTCATATGCAGTAAGACCCTCTATGTGGATATTTTCCTATTATGGACACCCTTCGGTCTCCTTGAGCTATTTTTGCCGGAAAGGGACATCTCGAACGTCGATACTTCTCTATTCTAGACTGCTGACACTTTTTGCCGTTCCAGCCTCCAGTGGAGAATCTCTTGAATATGGACAGTCGCTCAAGTTCACAGCATTTTTTCAGTGTTGTGTCAAAATTTGGAAACCAAAAATCGGGGAAACGAGAATCTACAAAAAGATTTTCGCGCAATAAAATCGAGTTGTCATGTTGAAATTCAGGATTTTTCTTTTAGAATCCTCTTTTCTAAATTGAAGCCTCCGTATTTTTCGTTTTCTAGATTTCTCTTTTCCGGATTTTGAAACATGTTCATTTTTCTCGGAACAGAGCTGTGCATGTAAATGCGCACTGAATAGATCAGTATGCGATGTATCCTGTAATAGAAAGTAATCGTGAGAAGATAGACCAGGAAGCGCGAAAGAAAGAATTGAACACAAGTGCATTTATCTACTCATTAAGCAATACGAATTGACAATTCCTTGTAAGCGAACTCGAGCCGGAGATGACTGATTTCCATCTTGACTGGAAACTGTCCAAACAAAGCTTTATCACTAGCTATTTCAAAAAGAATCGCTGAAATTGAAGCAGTGTCAATAACTGATGAGTGACGCTGATCCGAACACAGTTCCATGGGACATAACCGTAAGGAAGGGGGTGGAATGCACTTTAGTAACCATAACAATGATTTCAGAACAAAAATTGAAAACCTCTCAAAAGTGAACACCTCCATATAGTAGACACTTTGAAAAGGCCTC